CTGGACTACTGAAAATCAGTTTTTCAGGCAAATATACAAGATTATGAGGATTGTACTTATTTGCAAGAGTTAGCAATGATAAAAAGAATGTTCTCCAATGTGAGTAAAGATTCCACAAGCTGCTTCAAAATATGAAGTGCCACCTGTTAATTTAAAAATAAAACCAGATATATGAAGACAAAACAAACAACACTGAAAGTCTGAAATCTAAAACTGAGGTGACTTTTTCTTTTTCTTATATTGATAGATCAGAAAAAAGATTTTAACTGGAAGGGTTTGATCTTTTACCTTTACCCCAACCATACTCTCACTGCAACGACATTTCAATGATCAAGTACATATAAACGGAACAGTTTTCACTAGCAACTCATTTTTGGGGGTTTTTTTAGGATCTTAAGTTGGTTAAATATAAAAAGATACTTGCAATTCAATGTACTATTTGACAACATACTGATTTTCTGTACAAAGTTATGATTCTTATTCATCAAAACACTTAATTCCTCTGAGACATGACTACCATTGTATGTATATTACACATATGAACTTTATACGTGTAATCCCTATTCAGTACCAGCAGAATGTTCATGTAGTTTTTCCTCGTGTAACAACAGTAGCACACATGCACACATGCACTTCACCCTGTATACAAGCTATGTACAAAGCTTGTGCAGCCTTTTCCAACATAAGCCAAGATACAGCAATACCTAATGCTGGACGCACTTCTGCTTTTCTCAGTGTCACTCCATAAGGCCTATTGCCACTGGAAACACACACAGCCACCCTACTTCAGTTATGTTTGCAGATGTTCTTTACATTTAAAAAGGCTATTAATTATCACAAACCTCACTCTCATTATAGGACTTCTGAAATAGGAAACTACATTGTTGAAGCTATGAAAAAGAAACCATGCTGTGAAGACCCAAATAGAAGCAGATAGAGGGAGAAAGACCTGTTTTGCAAGAATTAGCCTTGAAAGACTGTTTCTATACTACAAACATTGTATTTATATTGTTGGTCCATAAATTTCAATAGTACACAGTATTTTTTTGTTATTTACTTGCTAGATTTCCTACTATAATCCCTAATATTATCTACTAGAGGTAAAAAGAAGTGAAGGAAAAAGTTCCAGATCTTCAGGGTGTATTAATTTTCTTGATCAATACAATGATTAACCATTATACGAAAGTGCAGAGACCCACCCTCAAATCTATTCAAGCAAGAATTCCTATGATGTTTGATAGCTGCAATGACAGAGGACAGACTGAGTAAAGATCACAGAGGTGTGCTTTATAAAGAAGTATCATTTAAACACAACGCAACTACATCACAAAGTTGTTTTAGAAACAGCTGAAAAACAAAGTCAACCCAGAATCCCCACCCCTCTTAACAATTTGCACAGTTCCACTCAAACATGATGCAAATAAAAAAAACCAGTGAAGTAAATCTCTTACAGCTCAGTACAGAATGACCTATTGAGAATACACCATTGTCCTTACCACAGCTTAGAATTTCACTGCTTTAGTCACTGAGCCAAAACATCTTCATAGCATTAGGTCCTTTTATAAAATTATCAGTTAACACAAAAAAAATCAAAACCACTTCTTCAGTAATATAATATAGGGTAATGACTATTAAATTGTGATGTCTTGAAAACCCACACAGACTCATCTATACAAGACTAACTTCCAGTATTAAAGCATCTCAAGACTTTTAGATGCAATAACATCCCAATGTGTCTTGGACTCTAAGAAATACTGTTGACAGGGTTGTAAAGGAAAGAAATACAACTATGACTTCCTTGAATACTACTGTAAGTAAAATAAAAATCATATTGCCTAAAAATTACAAAAGCCTACAATCTTAACTGCAACCACTTTAAAATGTCTGCGCGCGCTGGAGTTGCTAAAAATATTTAGTTGGAATTGTCTCAAATGAAAATAACTATGTCCCTCCTCTATTCCAAAGCTACATAAAGCTGCTCTCCCTTTTAAAACATAATACCAAGAAGCCTTTTCTTTTTTTGCCAGTGTGCATAATAGTGTTGTTTTGAGGTTTTACTCCTTAAACTGGATTTTTCTCTACATTTTTTTCTCCGTTCCTGATCAGCAGTGCCAACTCTATTTCTGTAATGGCATAGGGAGCACTAATTTCGTCTTCTCTGTACCAACTACTTCTGTGATTTTTATTTTAAATAAAGTACCTGGTAAAACTATCTTATGTTCTCATAAGTTGAAATTTTATGATTTTCAAGCTACCAGCCAGAGTAGTAACTAAGACAACATCATCTGGTAGAGACAAGGAAACAACCTTTTTTTAGTTCTAAATTTGACAACAAAATGGAATGTCTGAGATGCAATGTCAGTCCTTAAAGAAGCCTTATTAGCATGAATACGATCATTTGACATGATAGGTAAAGATTAAGAGTCAAAATATCGCTCTGTTTCTCCAGATGAAAACCGCTACCAGTCTCTTGCTCCTTCATTAACTCTCATTTGTTCCATAATGAGAGCTTTAAAGAGCAATAAAATTACTTTCCTGGATTCTTCTATGTCTCCTGAATATGCAAAGAGCAAATAAGGAGACCATCCTTGATATACAGACACATAATCTTTTTACAGCAATCACTGTGACTTGTATAACAGACTTAGATTCATAGATGTATCTATTTAGATGTATATTCAACCCTCACCAAACAACAGGATTTGTATAGAGTGTAAAGAAGTACTTTACTATAAAAGTTATACTTTATAGAATATCATACAGGTTTTCCTGGAAACGCAGGATGTCAATACTGACCATCAAAATGTAGTTTCATTTGTAAATGAAGAAAACACATTTTGAAATATTTCCTATGACATTTGTATATAGCACTACATTTTGACACCATCTCTATCTATGGTGACTGTGAATTTAAACCAATAAAGACACAATGCAGTTTCAAGTACAGTTAATGTAAATCTTTTACAGAACTCAGAATGCTTTGGATTCAGTTCTATATTAAGGTCAGATCATTTCTAGTCACTACATTTGACACTGATACTCATTTGACATGGATTAAAGAGATGAAACTAATATCAAAATTTGAGCAAATACTGTGGTCTCAATGCCTCACTGAATTTAATTTCTTACAGTAGTATAGACATACTAGCATATTTATTTCAGCAGATACTAACAAAACTATTTAGAAACCTTTTATAAAACTTCTTCAATTTACTACTTCTCTGCAAATACATTCTGAGCCTGAACAGAGTATTAAATGTGGGTAAAATCAGAAAACCTCCCTTTCAGAAGCACAAGTCAGTCACTTAGACAAAATCAAAGTACTGTGTAGAGAAGGAAATCTCTTTAACCTTTAAATCCATGTGTTGTATTACAGCCATATGACACCGGTGGTATGATATATAACAACAAAACAAACAATATGACGCATCCTACTCGTGTATTTTATATATAAGACACAAGCTTATCAACCACAAGTGTAAGCAAGAGTTCACTGAAACAGCATTACTTTACAGGTGTTCACAGTATCAACAACTTTCTAAACTCAGAGAAGCTTTAGTCTTCTGCTCAACTTTCTTTTTTTCTTTCCTCTTCTGTACACATCCCATCTCTACTCAGTTTCACGTTAAGTTCTACATGTATTTCCAATGCCTTCCAAAACAACAAACTCGTATTTTACTCTCACACATCAGCTATCAAGAACAGCACAAAGATGATATATGAGTATCCAAATAAAAGCCAACTTAAAATTAACTTAAGAGCAGAGTCATCATTATATATTGCAGCAAGTTCTGAAACTGAAGAAGAAACATGAAAATTGAAATTCATTACTTATTACATTTCCCTAAAAAGCACTCAACTTGCTAATACGCAGAAATAGAAACTGCAAATGTAGTTTGTAATTAGTTTATAATTCAGACAGTTTTAGATTCACTACAAAAGGACCCGAATGTAAAGTTTAAGGTTATTAAAAGCCACTTATATTAGCATATTTATAATTCAAAATAAGTACATTTATAAAACAAGAGTACGTTTTATATGTGCTAATTGAAGGTTTAGTATGTCATCACCATAAAATTAATGCAAACTGATTCTGTGTTAATGCAAGCCATCATACACGAAAACCCCAATGGTAATCTGTCATGATAAGGCCATCATGGTCAGCAACATCATCTATCCAAGAGTGTGATTAATATACAGTTCTGTAAAGCACTACAATATTTCATTAGAAGCATTTCTTTAATTTCCACATAAAAGAAAACCTTGTGGTATGTGGCAACCAAGTAATTGTTTGCAGTCAATGTGAAAACAGGGTTTTCAAAACAAAGAAAACATGAATGTGCAAATATTAGACATTGCGCCGCTTCATTTTACCATAATAATTCATACTCTGTATGTTGCTAGAAAAGGAAACAGCGATGTACATATTATTTGACATGAGTATGTAAAACACATCTTCCACAACCATTAGGTCTATATTGTCTTTTTCATAAAAACAGCGGTCTTTGCCTGATCAGTTTATTCTTAAGCAGGAAAGGGCTCGTGACCTGTACTTTAACATTTCCCATGGTGATTATTTTTATTCTTTACTCACTAAAGTATGAACTGCAGACAAAAAACAGATTTGTGATATTTATTATTAATCTATGTTAATAATGCACAACAATAAATATAAACCACAAAATAAGAAATGAGAAAGACTGTCAAAATGTTGTTTTTTTAGCTGATAACATATGAGATATGTGTTGGAAACTACCATGACTAATAGAAATTTTAAACATAAAATGGTACTAGAAAATTAAGGCAATTAAACCATATTGAACAATAACCCACCAGTCAAACTCCACTAGATTTCCCAAACTAAAAATATGCTTTCATTCTCTTCTATTGCTTTATTGGTAGAAATACGGCATTGGGCACATAGGTATGCAAGTAGACTTTGAGTAAAGAAAGGTAAGAAATCAAAGAGTTTGAGCTGTCATAAGCTCATTATTTGATACCTTGCTCTATACTGCCACTTCTTACTGGAACTTGCGGTAGCTGTCTTCCCCTACGACTGCTGAAGGACGTGTCTGCAGGAGGAGACTGTGTGGGACTTCCTTGTTGATGTGTTCTGCAAATGAAATTAAGACAAAAGCGAAATCAGCCAAATGAAGAGATTTTTTATATTCTGAATTTTAAACACATATTAAGTTGCAGATACTGAAGATAGGTGTGAAAAAGTCTGCATTTGGTCTATGCCATATGCATATACCCAGGTCTAGATAACTGGTAAACTTATAAGGCAACACATTTAATTTCTCTAACTACCTTTAACTAAGAAGAAATTATTTCCTTTGATTGATTTGGGTTTTTTTTAAATTTATTTGTTTGCCACCTCTGTGTCTCATTAAGTTCAGTATTCCTTTTGTGCTGATGCAATAATTGCACAAGGCCACAGAGAAATGGACAGCAAGTATCGATTCCCATAGGATAGCATGTGGTTTTTCTTTGAACTCAAAGGAAAAAAACCTTTAACCTTGGTATTGGGGTGTGTGGGGTGTGTGTGAGAGTGTATCTGTGTGTCATGCAAAGCATGTATTAGAGTTTTAATATTTATACCTAAGTAAATATCCTAAACTTCTTTGTTGAATTCTAACTAGCACTATTTCAGAACAACGTGGCTACTTGACTTCTTACATATAGATGCAGCTTCTGAGTTTAACACATCAAACACCTTCAGAATGCTGGCATTTAAAGTAAGTATGGGCACCTATAATAACTATGGGGAAAAGGTCTAAAAAAGTAAAACAAAGATGCGAAGCAGCAGACCACTGAGGAGAGCTTACTATGAAATGTCCTTGCCAGTTACAGTAATATCAGATTCACTATAGTGGATAAGCACTGTTCATCTACTACACTAGGGTTGCAAGTAGATAATTTATAATTTTAAGTAACACATTTGTGCAAATTCAAAATACTGTTGGCTTTCACCACATAGATCAACTGACTTGTAACATCAGCTTGTAAGATCAGTTAGCTGTGTGAACAGCACATGATTTTCTGCACAGTGTTTAAGAAAAGTATTTTGATAATTTTCAGATGGATACAGAACAAAACACAACAATGGAGGGACAAAACACAGTAAATCTTTTACTTAGCATAACTACTTAAATTCAACAGCAAGAAGTACCATCTGGATGGTGAAGATAGATGGCATAAAGGATATGAAGAGAGGATAATCTATAGTGCCGGAATGAGTGAACGTGCCAAGTATGCTCAGAAAAGTACAACACCACACTGAAACCTGGGAGGTAGAACATGAAGGCTATGCTGTACACATAATAGCAACCTTGTCAGAAGTGGAGAAGGTGGCGCCAACCCTCCGGATGCTAGGTGATGTACAGAGCATAAGGGTTTGATACTAGACTGCTCACTCGACCTTGAGCGAGTGTGATGTTTTCCCCTAATGACTGGCTGTTCAGTCGTTCGTGGGGTTGGAAGTCCCCTTCTAGAAAGACATGGTAGCAGAGCCCTAAAACATCAGTGCCAAAAAGAAACTGTTCAGTTGTTAGCTCCAGGCACATCTTCCCCTGCCCCCCTCCATCAAAGAACATTGCAAATCCCGGCTGCAGGACCAGGACTGACCTTTCAGATAGAAGTTATTAATCATGAATGCAAATCTGTTTTCAAAATGACAAACTGCAGAACATTCACCACCGCAGATACACAAGACCCTAATTTTGGAACTGTTGAACTGCACTGCTTATAGCAGAAAGTTGGCCAAAAACTCTAGCTGCACCTTAAACACAGCAAACACAAGCTAACAACACATATGACATAAGGACTAGACCAGAGTAGGCTGTGAATACCTAGTTTTATCACAAAGCATTTCTGTTTCTAAAACATACCTTTTACCTTTATTAAAAATACTAACTGCATTTCAATTAGTGTCCTAAAAAGGACAATATGGAGGCACATACATAATTCCCTGTTTCCCCAACAGTTTGAAATAAGAAATCTATTTAAGTATCTGTAAGTACTAAAACAGAAATATGGTTCTGAAGGAACTATAATGAAAATAAATTATATTATGCGGTAAAATGATTAATCATGTTAGCATAATAAAGTATAATTAATACTAGTTCAGTAATTGCATAGACTGCAAGTAAAGGATAAGCTGAAACATTTCAGGTTTGTAGAGTGCCAAAGTATTCTAAATGTGCCTTTTTACTCTTCCCTGGCTTTCCAACAGTGCAGTATTTTGTAAATGGTACTACTATATCTGCTGTTATTTCAGAAATTTCAACGGTTTGTGACATCATTTCGTTGTGGGGTGGTTTTGCTTGGGTTCTTTTTAATTTCTGTAGACTCACACACCCAGCATAACTTTCCCACAAAATACAGTCAAAGTAACCAAGGAACTGTCTGGTTCATATGACTATCATACACTAAGAAGTTATCCTAAAAAAACCCCTATATATGAAATTACATGCAGATGCCTACCAAGGATAACAAACAGGTTTTGATTCAAAACCATTTCATCAGTAACAGTTTATGTGGAAGACCAGTCACAATGCAAAAAATTCAAGATTCTGTTGCCATTGCTTATATTCTCTCTTAAACCCTAACACTTCAGCTTAACTCCTGGCTTGCCCTGGTGATAAGTATGACATTCTTGAAGAGACTGAATCTGCTGATTCTGAAAGATGCTTATGATAACAAAGATGAGCTGAGTTCTGAAAATGCCTGTTTCTCCATGCTGAATGTAAAAGTAACCTATCCTAACTGTTGCACATAACCAGCTTTTAAGCATCTGTTTTATCAGATGTCTAAACACCATAACATCCATAAGGTAAATATGGATCCCACTCAGTATCAGAAACTTCTTGTTTGCTTTTACTATGAATAAATGCTTCAATCTAAAAAAGTCATCACGTTCTCAGTTCTGATATTTTTCATTTTAGAGGCTAAATATCCTGGAATTTATTTGAGAGCCTAGTGAAACACTGTGAGTCTGTCCTGCCATTACAGAACAGGACAGGACTTACCTGCAACTCAGAAACTTATCTCCTTCTCCAGTAATACTCTTTTTACAGACATGTCCCCTTCCAAGAGAAAGACAGAGGATCTGCTTAACTCGAAGATAAATAAGGCCCAAGATTTGCATTAGCTGGGTTATTACAATGAGATGAATATGCTACCTGGGGTGCAAATGAAAAGAGAGCTAAAAGGCAACTGAAGAATAACTAAAATGGATTTAAGGACTTGCTGGCCTAGGAGAAAGATCTGTTGCTGGAAGGAAGAAGCCTGCAAATGGCTGATCTCTAGAATGAGACAAAAAGGAACAAGAAACAAGCATGGGAGACAATAAGGTAGTGAGAAAATGAGACAGAACTGAGATAAGAAGTATGAAGAGGAGAGGAATTTGGGGAAAAAATGATACCTGGTGAGAAATGAGACTGCAATGAGCACATACATGTCTATCTCATCTCCAGGTTCCTCACAGAAGGTGGGAACACTGCAAGGAGAAAACTTATTAATTCAGCTGGCAATGGTCTGCAGAGGAATCCTACAGGTTCCAGCCCTGCCAGCATACAAGAAAACTCAAATTTCTTTCTCCAGACAGACGTCTGAGCGACACATATTAAATAAAACATGCTGCCACCTAAGAAACTATAAAAAAATCCTAAGAATAAGACAGCATCACCAATCCAGTGCACCCCTGGTATCGTGTCCTATGCAAAATATAGAAAATACAGTTAAAAACTGTATGTATCCTAGCATATATGACAGGTAACGTCACATCTAGCATTTCTGGAGTGTTTAGTTAGGGCTGAAAGAAAACATTTTAGGATTGGGATGAACCGAATTTTACAAGTTTTGCTCATTCAGACAAGAACAGAAAATGCTGGATTTTCATGTAATCGGTCTTAGTCCTTCTGAACATTTTACTGAATTCCATCTTGAAGGCTTATCTCATTGAATTAAGAGAAGGTTTAGGTTCTGTAAATTACCCTGAAAAGGTTGGCCTTTTCCCTTTTATGTACGTTTCCTAAGCTATCACAATACATAGAAAATTTAATCTTACATAAAATGCTGAAATGCTTTATAGAGAAGCTGACAGCATGCTGATACGTTATTCCACTAATCTGCTTAACTAATAGACAAGGTTTGCAAATTGTAAAATAAAGAGCAATTCTTAGGAAAAAATAGATATTTGAAGAAGAAAGAGTCTTGAATTATATTTTATAAGAAAATTAATTGCCTACCCTATTATCAAAACTTTTTGGCACTAGTGCAATATAATATCTATGAAGAAATACTGAACTACAGAGCTCAGACTTATTTAGACATTTTGTCCCACATCTACCACCGCGAATCATTTTAGGGAAACAAAAACCTACAGTATGTGCCATGGAAATGTAAAAAGAAGCAGCACAATCGATGTTTCCCTGTGCTCTTGTTTACTGGGCTCATTGCTGAATGGTTACCAAGAACCAAACCCCTTTCTAACTCTTCAGGAGTTAGATAAAACAGGTGAAAAAATGGCTTTAGTGATCTCTGTGGCAAAACAGTCCCTGATTCAATCATAGCAAGGATTTCAGCCATCATTTAGGTAATTTCTCTTATTCAAACTGAAAAGGAAACTCGGTTGTTGTGAGAACAGAATAATCAAACTCAAGAAAAATGTAACCATTGCTTTTTCATCAAGAACGATAATCTGGGACTTGAAGCAGTAAAACAAAATAAAAGCTCTGAAGTTTTGCTACATAATGTGTGTTTTCATTGAAAACAGATGTCTGTGTTGTTCATGGAAGATTTTCAGCTCTCACAATGTAAACAGATGTACATTCCACCTCTGCTCATCAAGGTAACATAAATCTATTTCTGACAGAGGAAGGATCTCACCCCTCCTCACTGCTCTTATTTTAGCAAGACACAGGGTTTAAAATTTTACTAGATGTTCTTATGATTCTGTATGTATCTTTGTTTTCTTCATTTTTTCTTAAAAATTTGAATATGTAACCCCATACCACTGTAGCATCAAAGTTAAAAGTTATAATGATAATACAAATTTAGGAAAATTCAATAAATACAAAAGTTAAAGTTTCAGTGTTTATATTAACTCTATATAATGATAGATGTTGAAATTTTCTATACATATTTAAATGTGTAACTTAACTTTGTTATATTTTAAAGTGAAATTAACTTGATCACAGACATTTTGAATTAATAATCTATTATATCTATCTATCTAATCTATTATATTTTATCATCCTCAAAATTAATGTAAAATAAAGATTTTTTGAAAAAATCAGTGGTTAAGTGCAGAAATTAACTGCTAGTCTTTACCATTGAATTTATCTGCAATAATGAATGCCAGAAAAATTCCATATGTATGCAATACAGTGCTAATAATAGAGATACAAAGTAAATAATACTGTCAATTAGAACAACATTGCTTTGGGTACTGTCACAGGTGTTTTAAAAAAGTTGTATCAGAGGTATATTCAACAAACTGGAATCAGACTGATAATAGGAGATGTTTACACATCGATCAACAATCCTACCTTTCCGTTTCAGTTGCGGAGCCTTTCCTAGTTTGTTTTTGGCTGCTATATCTTTCCACTTTTCTGGACTGCCTGTGAAATGACATGTCAGAAAAGAAATAAACAAAGAACAAAAAGAATACAGAAATATGAAGATTATTTATTCATGTATTATAAAGGTAATAACAGAAATGGTTGACAGATAAGAAAGTGACAATGATCATCATGAACAGGCTGGTGAATTTGAGATTTAAGAGGCATTGCACTGATAGGTTTGATTAAGGCTCATGGTGTGAGAGTTATGAGGTACCAAAACAGGAAAGAAAACATCAATCCTGACTGAGCCTGCAACTAGTTCCCCCTTCACAGTCTGTATTTGATTAAAACAATGCCTCCTCATAGGCTATAAGTCAACTCTTAACAGCATGAAAAACAAATTCAGAGTAGAAAGCAGGAATAAAGTGTTGCAGAAAGTATCAGAAAATACTATTCAAATGTAAATTTTAAAATTGTTTTGAATCTAAATTTCAAAAGCAAAACAAATACTGCATCATAACAGATTTAAATAAGGGTGTCACTATATTAATAAAAACTTGGCTTTTAAAATTCTCAGCCCATTAAAACTTGTTAAAATTTTTAGAAGCAGTTTTTCTAGTCAATATAAATAAGATAGAAATTTATTTCATTCCCTCACTCCATTTCTACAAAAATCTTTTACAGAATCCATCTGACATTTGGACAGTGAGGTACTTGTTAGCTCTGACAGTCTAAGCGCTTACTTTGATAGTAAATAAGAACAATGAACAGCAATATGAGTCAATACATGTAAGAAGAAAGGTAAAGTCATATTTCATCATTACTACCCAGGACTATAAACATACTATGTAAATCTCTGCAAATCTTGTGTTCTGTACTATCCATAGTAATGTGAGCATTTACAATGTAGGATTTACAATTTTAAACTTCTAAAAATCATCAATATATACTAGTCTTTTAGTGGTCAAAACCCACAGGAGAGGTCAAAACCAGGGAGCAATGATTATTCATTCATAGACCAGAAACTTTGACAAACTTTAACACTGGTAAGATCTTGTAATAATACAATCAATGTCATGTATTAAGCTATATAAGAATTACTGGGGGCAAAACATATAGATAAAAATAATATTTAAAGTCATATGTTCTCCTTTAAACCTTTGTGGTTATAAAGAGTAATCCAATGTCTGACCTGGAAGATACCTACACAGCTGTGACACTAAATTATATCCAAAGAACATAATCACAGTGGATTTACATTATTTGTACCCACTGCAATATTTGATGAGCATTATATTGTGATGCAGTATACTCCACAACAAAGAAAACATTGCAGCAAAATACAAAATGCTTTCTGCATAACGAGAGGTCATTACCTGAAGCTTTCTGGGTTTATTTCAGATTAAAAATTAAAATCCCTTTTGTCCTCAAGCTATTTTTTTCAGATTTATTCTTTGTATATTCTCATTACTTTTCAATTCTATTCCTTTACCAGGACAAATATAAGGTAGGTACACAGGAAATCACACATATTAAATGCTGCAGCTTTACATAAAACCTACAGTTAGCAAAGTATTCAAAGTTAGGGCTAGATCCACTGTATGCAGCAGCATTATCATTCAAATTATGTCACCCTCTTCATTTTCTGTTTACTTGGTTGGTTGGGGCTACTTTTTCTCTTACTCCTTGTGTCACTTGCTTAGATTGTGATGTTACATGCAATGGAGAAAAAGAGCACATAGTGACTACTTTTAGTAGAATGGAAAAGCTGAGAGTAGGACACGCTTTCCTATGAAAAGTAACAAAATAATACATAGCCCTAATGAGCTGAATATACTTAGTTCTCTGCTCTCAGTGCTGTCCTTGGGAGCAGCCCATACTAGAAATTTTATAAAATCAGTTTCCTTTCTGTTTTCTTCCTCTTGCTAAGATGATGCTGTATACATTTCCATATGGCTCAACAGCCTACTACAGTGCTTGGAGTCCTGGCTCAGCTCGAGCAGGCATTGGCACGTGGGCATTTAGGTGTCCTTTTGTGCTCACATACAGCGTACAAAGAGTGTGCTGGGGTAAGAACACTCATGTCATACTCAAATTTACCTCTTAAACGTATCTTCAAGGAGGATAAATATTATCCATGAGCAATACATGCATATATGTAATTGTACATAAAACCCGAAAAAGAAAGAAAACGTGAAAGTATGCAGAGCATATGAAGAATACACTATCACCAATACCTCATTTATCTATGATTTGAGTAAATAAGGATACCTCTGTGCTGCTCCAGGTTTAGCACTTAGGTGGTCTACACTGTCCTGTTTTGGAATGCAAGACTCCAGCGTCCTTGTTCTTCACAATATTTGGAAACATGGATGTGTATTTGGACAGAATGAGCAGAAACAAAGAGATGGTCACATGCAGTGAAGGTGGACACATGCAGTCAAATATATAAACCAAAAGCATTAAGGTGCTATCTGTTGAAGAAGGCTATATTTCTTATTTGCCCATCCACTGATTTAATCCAAAGACTGTAGGGAAATGTTAAAATTTTTAGATGCAGTATCAACAGTCTAAGATGTAATAAACTATAGAATGAACCTCACAACAATGTTTTAAAAAACCTTTATATTCTACATGTTGAATGGCAGCACTGTAGTCTAATAGGTGCTATTATCCTTCTCCAGAATTAATCCATGCTATCGTTCATTAGATTAATATATAAACCTATACAGAACATCTTCCCTTACAAAGATGTGTATTTTGTCATTATACTGTGAAATTCTCCTGAAAATACAAGTAAATTTCATAATTTCATATATTTTGATGGGAAGTTCTTATTTTGTTACCAGTCAATCTGCTGCAGTAATAATTAACAATAAGTCAATAGCAAAGTAGAATAACTGACGGAGCTTTCTTTAAAAACAAAAATAAAACAAACAAACAAAAAAAAAAACCCAAAAAACAAATGAAGATCAGACTATTTCTGAATTTCCAAATATCAAATTTGGATTTTAAAGATAAAACTCAGGAAAATTTGCAGTCCACTACTAATCTAGGTAATGTAATATATTTGCATCTATACCTACAATAAAGTGAGGAAATGCTAAGATTTCTCTTTTGGATCATAAATCTACCAACCGTGACACAAAATCAGTGATCTATGGGTATCATATATAGACAGGCACTTTATATTATTTTAAATACAAACCATTCAAGTTCATGTTCCAAATACCTACGTGCCTCAAAATATTTAACACTGTTGAGTGTAAACAAAATCTACAAAGAGAAATATTACAATATTCCTATCAAAATTAAGAATTACTATTCCTAAAGTGTCAACATTATAATACAATTAAGTGTCTAACTTTTTAAGATTATTTATTACTGGCTTGTGCAAGAGACCTCAGTGTTTTACAGTGAGTCTGCTATTTTATGTAGCCTTAAAGCCATCAAGAATGTCATGTTCAATACTTCCTGATTTTTACTGATGTTTTCTAAGGCTGGATCTACATGGTATGTGAACATACCACAAATATTCTGAGGGCTTGCCACCTCCTCATGCTCATTCTTAGCAGTTCAGTTCATGCCTTGAAAAACTGCTTCCCTGATCAAGTCACATAGTGGTTGCCGAAAAATGGGAAAGGATCAATCAGACCAAATCGTTCTTTTACTGGCAGTGAACAGCACAGCAAAGCAAAGTCATGAAAGTACCAAAGGGGCACTTGCTCTACAGCTGGATTCAGGATGACTCTTGGATAAGCATTCTTATAGATGCACACATGACTGACAAAAGCTACTTCTCTTAACTGAAAGTATTTGATGATTAATTTTTTACAGGCTTTTTTTATCCACTCTTGGTTATATGCTGACAATATATGCAGACCTCTCAAAAAGAACAGTCTGAATAAAATTTCCCCCTACCATTAAATTCTCAGCTTTCATTTCCCTTGTTTTTATCATCACTTACAATTTCAGTTTCACAGTTCTCCAGATACCAGTCTGTCTATGCTTTAGGCATTAGACATTTAAACCTTCTAATTCTAATTTCCAGTACAAAAAAACCCAACCTAAAAACCTTCCAGCAACGAAGTTATTATGTTCTTTAAAATATCTTACAGAAATATATGATATAACCAAACATTTGTTAATTCTTAACACTGAAATAATATATAACTCATGTCTCAACTTGTCAATGTAATGAAAGAGTCACTTCTTTCTAATACAGCAAATGAACAAAGTCCAGAATAACAATAATCTTGCAAGGACTTTTATTAAAATTTATTTTAGAAATCATTATCAACAAATGAAATGTTGCAAAAAATTATCAAAATTGGACATAATGCATGTCATAGGCATTTAATAACTGTATTCATAAATAGATCTTGACGGTACCCTATATACAAATTTGGCCAATTTGTAGGATAAATCTGTAATGTACTCAAATGAAGAGTAAGACAACACCTGTCAAAGTCAATTAATCTGTGAAATATTATTTGCAAGTGGTGATAAGTAGTTAGTTAGTTAGCCCTGCTGATCCATCAGACAGTCATTCTCCAACACCCACTGCTTCACTTTTCAAGTTGTTACAAGTATATCTTAAAAAAAAACATTAAAAAATCATAGTGTTGGCCCACCGCAATAAATATGGGAAATAATCAGAACAAATGAAAACTAAAAGAGTAGAAAACGAAGGTATAAGTACCTTTGATTCCCTCACTAATACTCTGTCTGCAGACAAGGTGGGCTACTATTTTGTATTGGACATGCAATGCAAAGAGTCCAATGTCCTCAGAATTTCTTTTAATCTGGGAGAAAGATTCCAGAACTGGTAGGCTGAAAACATTCATCAGGATTGAGGTCAAGCTAAACCCCTTCTAGGTTCATCAGTGACTTTCTCACTGAGATTTGGAGACCAGATCGCATGCAAGACTTACAAAAAGGCACCGACTTCACTTAGAAAATTAGATTGCTGCTTGTCCAACTCGAAATCCTTCCCATAACAGATTCTATATCCTACAGATGCTTTACTATAAAATGCTTGCTAACTGGTTTTAGAT